TCTTAAAACCAATCTGGCAGAGGAATGTGTTGGAAAAAGAGTTAGACATAAATGTCTACTTTTAGGACCCTTGGCAGGAGTACTGTACATTTCATGACAAAAAAAGTAGCGAGATTACAGCAACAACAGGTTAGTGGCCAGGTGTGTGTCATCTACCTGGTTGTCAAGTAGTGGCTGTAGCATAGCACTTGCTGATCCTCCAGCCTTGTAGGTGTCTCTCTGGTAGGAGCCCACTGGGTCAAAGCTGTACACTGCTCCCTTGCCTTCATTACAAGTATTACAAATAAAAACATATATTATAAGCACACATTAAAGCTTTACACTTTACACCTTAAACATAACAAAGATAATGCAACCTGTGTAATACAATTAAGTATTCCACAGACATTTGCAGTCCTAGAGCAGATTAGTGTCAAAAAAACATGATCACATCCTAAACATTCTTACACATCCAAGTAAACTGATATATCACTACAATTCTCCTCTTATTAGCTGATCTGTTGAAGTACCTACCCTCCTCATCCAGGCCTCCAATGATGTTGTAGACATAGTAGGGGAAGAACCTCCTGCTGTACAGGATGGTAGACAACATGGCTGCGATGGCTCCGCTGGTCATTGTCTTATTGTTCGAATGCTTGTACATCTGAGAGAGGAGAGGGAACGTTAGCAACAATTAAATAACCCGTGAGTTGTGAGGGGCCAAAGAAAAATCAGCAAAACAACCTCATTGTTAATTAACAGCGGTGACCCTGGACACTATTAAAGTGTTAATGCAGCAAGGAACAAATACTGGGTACCAAATATCCATAATTTATAGAGGATTGATCTTTAGAATAATTCAAACTAAATAAATACAACTGTCATCATTAAAGACACATTAGATGCATCTTAGATCAACAGACTCCATGGGAGTACAAGCATGGACAGGGCATTCAGCAGTGAGACTAAACAGAGAGTGAAACCAAAAGAAAAGCTGGCAGCATGACCCACCTTTAGCCTTGCATCAATTATTTTAGTCAGAGTCAGGCAGTCGCCATGGAAACCGCTACATCCCAGGACAGTTGTGTCTGTCCTGTGACCAGAAAAGGAAGCACAACAATCAATGACAGTCAGAGGAGCAGATGCTTCAGTTGACATAAACTTACAGTAAGTAGTATTGAGAAGTGAGGAGAAGGCAATTACCAGTTATTTAAGGAGCTGCAGTTATTACAGCATCACTAGTCACAGAATAATAAACACTTCCCACCTTCTGAGTACAGGTGCAGTCACATCAGCAGCTGCACTAAATGTAACTCCTTATTTAATTAACACAGGACTGTGACAAGAAATAGATTAGATGATTCATTATTAATTACTGCTGCAAATCAGCTGCCGTTCATTGACAGTACAGGTAGATGACTATGCACACTTACAGCTTGTAGCATTTTGGCGAGTCCCGGCAGTGGATTGAATAGCCTTCACTCAACCTGGTGTCTGAGGCAACGATGGCGAAGTCTTCCCCAGCCACAGCTAGTACAGTGCTAAAAAGAAACACAACATAGTTGAGTTCATTCCTCTTATAAACCATCTCACCAAACGGGAAATATATTGATGTCGCGGACACTTGCTAACAAAAGCTAAGCTACTGATTCGAAACTGAAACTGTGGTATCAATTAATCGTGGTATTAACTAATCTTTCCTATTTAAATACGTGACCTGCAATGCTAACTTGCACCTAAATAAAAAAAAAGTGTCTCTGTTTTTGACAAACTTTTCATCGACTTAATATTTGTTTTGCTTCATTGTGCTAAACAGGTTAGCTCGTTAGCACAGACCGATGTAATAAAATGTAAATGTTAGCTAGCAGGCTAGTTAGCTAGGAAGTTGAAAAGGGGGTTGTAAATAATTACACTCACCCTCCATTGAACGCGTATGGTGAGAATCGGTGCTCTACTGGACCTGTATAATGATATTCTTTCATCTTCCCATCATCTCCAAATGCCTGAGCTGAAATCATCTTTACTACAGAAAAGTAACAACGTTCAAGAATCAGATTCAGTCAGGTAAAGTCGCTGTATCACTGCAATATGGCAGCCTTCTTCTTTTACTATAATTTCAACCGCGTGTTCGGCTCGTCAGTGTGCGACAGCGCCTCGAGCGGATTAACCTAATAAAACCCCACTATACAGTGCAGTTTCATTATTTTTCCAGGCAACCCAAAACGAGCCAGTACTTGAAAGTTCTCGATTCATTTGACAGATTAGTTGGCAACCATCTTGATATCTGATTATTAGTTTAAGTAATTTATTAAGTAAGAATGCAAGAACAATAATAATAATGTTACCTGGTTCAATGATCTGAATATTTGCTGATTTCCTCAGTTTTCTATGATAGCAAACTAAAACATCTTTAGGTATTTGTCTGTTGGTTGGACAACAAAAGGAAGATGGATATGCTATCTTGGGCTCCAGGGCATTGTCACTGTCTTCTGAAGGTTTATACACTGAACATTAAATTTATTATTAAATTGTCAGATGTATTGATAATAAAAATAATTGCCTTACTGTTGTCCTGTGGTGGAATAATACAGCTCATCATAAAGTTTGTTGTAAATGTAATAACTTGACACAGAAATATATCTAAACAATTTGATAAACCACACTTAATGACAAAGGAGTCTTTTGAAAGTAGCTTTTATTGAAAAAACATCTCATAACTCAGTGACTATGACATTATTAGCAACAAATACTCCTTAAGCAACCTGCTCATTGCAGGACAACACATAAGAAACATAAGAAACAGAAATAATTTTTCTTAAATTCTTTTAAGCTGATGGATTGTAATTCAATAACAATGAAAACTCTTATCATGCACACAAACTGAAAACTGCTGCAGCCTTGAGTTCTACCACAGCCAGCATCTATAACATTGCATTACACAGGAACACAAGTGCCATGTCATCAAGACGTTGTTTAAATAAAATTGTTCTTACTAGTCAGCCTCATTAAATAAAAGTTAATTACAGATACAAACTGTAGTTCATAAAATAAAAAAAAACATACTAAATGTTTTGAAAGAAAATGAATTATGTCAGTGAGTTCTTGTTAACCCTGACTGTTTCAGTAGTACACAATTGAAAGCACCATTAGTTCAACTGAACCTACATGATTTACTTGTCTAATGAAGTAGCAACGTACCGTTACTGTTAGTGGTTTGAAGGCCACAGGATTTAGTGCAGTACATTTAGATGGATTTGATTTACAGTTTAGCTATTGGCAATATTCATGTTTTAAGTTCATTTTATAACACTGCAGTACAGAGCTGTTATGCTAAAAGTAATCATCTGCAATTTGTAAACATATACATTATGTAGTAGATATTCAAAATATGGGCCTGCCTTACATGTAAAGCTCGCAGAGAAAATATTAATATGTCTGTTTTCTAGTTTTGGGCTGTGCATTTAAACACCTGTCAATCATAAAGAATAGGTCAAATTCTTATGTGAGATCAGACTTGGAAACAGGGTTAAAGTTCTTTATTTTTCATCACATTTTTGGCCCTTTAAGTCATTCTCCAAGAAAGCTTTTGAGAGAAACAACAACTAGTCTTTTAAAACATTACAGCTTTTGCAAATGATTGAACACGTGACAGTGCATTTGTGTAGAATTTGGCCAAACTATTGTGATTAAAGATGCTGTTAATCATTTATGAGCCGATTTGGACTTCTTAGGTGTTTTGGTTCCTCCCTTTTTCTTGGGTGTTGTGAAATTTTTGTTGCACACTTCACATACCCAAAGCCCTAAGGAGACAGAGACTGAATTAGTAACTATAAGAGACAATTAGAAATACAAAAATAAAATTTAGAAAACAGTCACTGAGGCGGACGCCAGTGGTAACTGTAGTTTAAATGACGTGGGTGTGTTTGACTGCGTGTCCGTCCACTCACCAGTAGGTATGGAGTCCATGCCCACGCAGAATGTGTGGTATCCTCTGTCACATTTGTCACAGAACATCATCTCATCCTCGTGGTGTGGTTGCTGGCACACAGTGCACGTCTTACACTCCATGCACTGCCAGCAGTACGTCTGGATCACACATACTAGCTCCTCGCTCATTTCCAAGCAGGACGGGTGGCCTAAAGTTTATGGATATCAAGACATACATACAGGGAGTCAAGGACAGTAATAAATATACAATGAATGCATGTAAACACAAAGACACAAAAACAGATACGATGTGAACAGGCCCACCCATGCACACACACACAGAACACGGGTGAAAAATTCATCCACTGACATCATCGCCAATGTTGGTCATTTTCTGGAATTGACTATTAGCTACCATTAAATAGGTGTAATTTTTTTTTCGACTGGCAAGTATTTGATGTATTTAAAGTCTGTTTGGTAAAAAAATATTATAGCTTGAAACAGCCTTGAAATAAATAACTGTACTGACATTTGTATTTGCAGAACAGCTGGTGACAATTAATTGAAAAGTACACATCACCTGAAATTACACAGGCTTTACTGTCTAAATGTAAACAATATAAAATATTTGTCTGAAAATATAAAAACACACAATGAAATTAATTTTCTGGTGACACAGCAGACAGCTTCACATGTCCTTTGACCAATTACAGAGATGATTCATCAGACGATCTGAGATCAAGTGAAAGCTGTTCAACATTTCAATCATCAGTTTTAAACATCACCAATAACTCTAACTCATCACAATTTGTAGAGAATAAAAATACAATTAGCAGTGTCTGAGTTCTGCTAACATCACATTTAAAAAAAAAAAAGTTGAGGAACCATCCTTTAAAATTAAGCATGTGAACTTACCACTGTTGTCGCATTGGGAGCAGTGAATGAGAGCCTCTGGTTTGCCTTTCCTGTTGGCCTCTTTACCCTTCTGGCAAATGCCACATATAGCACTGGGAATGACCTTAGGCTGCAAGGGCAGAATAATGCTATAAAAACCAATTACACAAGGGAGTCCTGCAGTCATGGACAACATAGTAGTTCAAAAAATGTTTAATGCCCTCCTGCAAGCATGTGGCATCTGAAATCTACAGCAGATTTATTGTTGCTGTGGTGAGAGCAGAATGACTTTAAGGATCATGCAGTGCTGATTTTTTTAAAGCAAAAACTCTATATCTTCCTTTAATTATCAAGCAAGAATACAAAACACTACTTGACAAACTTCTATCAGTTGTAAATTTTAATCAATACACTGTCGAACACCAGTGCTACTACTGTCTTCTCTGAGTTTGCACACTACATTTCTGCTCTTTTCCATGCTTCAGAAATATGGACATGTGAAGAGCTGCTTTCTATTGACTGTACTGAGAAAGGAGAGACAGGAGACCACCAGAGCAGGAGGACAAGGAGGCTTAGGGACACTTAAATCAGGATACCACAAGTAAACAAGAAACAATTAAAAAATGTTAATGCCTCTAGATAAAGAAAACAAGTGTGTGTGTGGTTGTTTGTCTACATGTCAGCCCCGTGATAGACTGGCGACCTTTCTGTTTCCCTAAACAGGGAAACAGAAAACAAGATGAGCACTGTGACTCAAATTTTTTGATAAAAAAAAAAAAAAAAAAAAAAAAAAAAAAAAAAAACATATTAATAAAAATTTTTAATCACACTGAACAGTATCCCCAAAATGTACAACATCTGGACTAATCGGCTTTCCTATTATTCATGGGCAAAGCATGCACTTTCTGATGAATCTGCATAATGTCCAGTCACTTCAAACTCCTACAAATATAATGAAACATAATTCATTAAAATGTCCCCTAACAAGAAGTGAGCAGATTAGACTAAACAAAGGGAAACAACGATGGGTCAATAAAGGATATGGTTTGGTGACAATACAACTCCAAGACCAGAAACAAAGCAAAAAACTACTAAGAGAAAAACAGCAACAGGAGAGAGAGAGAGAAGAAAAAGAAAGTTGAACACAGCTGCCTAAACTGCTAGTGCACACTTTCACTGTGTCTATGTGCATATATATTACCAAAATTCAGCTTTAGCACATTTGGCCTCATTGGATTTCTGAAGAACTAAAAGGTTTGTTCACACTGCTATCGTGCACTGACTCTTCACAACTATAAAAATGTGTTTGTGGGCACACACAACAGCTGATAAGTCTGCTCAGCCAGAAGATGTCAAAATGAGCAACTCATGAGGCTGAATCCAGCAAGTTTAAATAAGTTTAATTCTAAATTACCTACATTTGGACAAGAAATACTGTATTTTATGAACCTTAAAGAAAACTATTTACTCACTTTCAAGCATGTTTGCTTATACATAATCTGACAGCTTTATATTATAATGCTCTAAACATTATGTAGACACAAAAGCAAACACTAGTAGGGAAACTTAAGTGGAAACTTTAAACTCATCCACAGTTGAATTCCACAGATCCTAGATCAGTGGAACAAACAGTATAAAAATCTTGTTTTTACTTTTATTGAAATCTAAGTAATTATGTCTTACATTTCACTAATGTAAGTTGTAAAATTTGGAACTGTTGTGACAGATGCTAACCTGTTAGCTCACAACGGTCCACCTGCCTGCGCTGCATGTACAGTGTCTAGTGATGAAGTCTAGTAGTGATGATCATGGCCCTCGAATTCAATATACCTGATATACAAAATACCAAACCTGACTGAGCCTCTTCTGAGGATTAAAATAGTATCTCACATTCTTGGCTATGCTAACAGCTGTAGGGTTCAAGGACTCAGCGGCAGAAATACTGACAGTATATCTGATATGTCATAATAAATGGTGCAATACAGATTTAACATGTATTTAACATGCAACATGTATCACATCTGAACAAAACACTGCTCTAATTCCAACTTTGGTGTTCATAATTCATTTTTATTCGTAAGCGGTTTGTGAAATACCACACTACTGCAAAGCTTCAGTGAGTTTCCCCCAGTAATGAGGTCACCATTAACAACAGCTTATACCGTCAATGGTAGCCAGACCAGAGCGAAGTAATGTTAATCAGCTTGCAGCCTGCATCACTGATTGAAAGATTTGCTGTCATATGTAATGTCTTTGTGGAGAATCAAAAGTTATTAGAAATCGTTCATCTGTTGGGATTTTCGGAAAAGGGGAAAATCTATCACTGTCAACTCCACAGCCATTTTACTTTGGCTGATTTATCGATTACAAAATGATGAATCACACTCGACTTCTCTATACTGTATCAATTCCTGAATGTTATTACACCTATACATTATCCTTTTGTATCCACCACAGATTGATACAGTGCAGGGAAATTGTGTTACTGACTAACTCTGGTTTCCAACTTGTCGTGTCTATAGGCTTGAAGCATATGCAAAATAATCTGAGGAGTAATATCAAAGTTAAATCAAACTTAAACTAGTAAATGATAAACAGATACTACAAAAGGACCATGCCCACACCACAGAGCTGAGCTAAAAAGGACTGACCCAGGTCCATCATGCTCTCATTAACAGTAATATACCAGCATATATAAGGTGTCCTGTCAGCCCTGTGATAGATTGGCAACCTGTCCAGAGTGGACCCCTGTGACCCTCTGCAGGATAAGTGGCATAGATGGATGGATAGCTATTAGGTGTCCTTCTGCCAGGCTGAGGACTAGAACAGTAAACCAAAACCAATAAAATGCATAGCTCAGTAGGCTATAGGGACCAAACCCTGCTTACTCATCTACAACATCATGAATATTCAGAAGAGATTCAAGGCGACTACCAAAGATATGCCATGACTGGGTGTTAAGAATAGCATGCTGATATGGGGCATGTCCAGTGGAGTCCACATCCAGACAGACAGCATGCAGACCACCTCTAGCTCAGCTCAGGAACAGTGTGAACAAGGTCAGCAAGTCCTCCTCTCTCCCAGACGACAGTATAGGGACAGGTAACGCCCATGCCAAACAGTTGTCTTAGTAACAGATAAACAGTACAACACATGGTGTATAAACAAAGCATATTATTATACCAATACAGATTTTAAACATTAAGGTTAAGTGTATTCTATACTTCATATATAAATGTTAAAATTCTCTAGTGTTAACATCAACTACTTTAAAAGCAACCACAAAAGGTAAGTGGTTTATATTTTCTATATCAGAGTAACAAAAAGACTTTACTTTTCAAAACTGAAAAAAGAAAAACTAGCAGCCAAAACATCCACTTACTTGTCTTGAAGTATCTTTGTTTTGACAAGTGAGGAGAGACGAGAGGTATATTGAAGACACTTAAAAAGAAAAAAAACTTGTAAAAGTTCAAATGTGTCTTCACTGATAACCCAAAAAAGTGAAAGTGCAGTGAAAAAGAAACAAGGGCACTGTTCCTTTAAAATGTTCTTATTGCTCACAGTCTGATATGAAGAGGAAAAAAAACAAAAAAAAAAAGTCTAGAGTCAGGACCCCCGGTGTATGTTTGTGTGTGTGTGTGTGTGTGTCTGTATGGGCCACGTTGTCCCAGCTGTAATGAGGGCAACCTGTAGAAGCCGGAGAACAAAGTGGAGAAAGGGAGGGGTTGTGGGATGGATGGTGTAAGGGAGTGGTAGTAGTAGAAAGAGGAGGAGGAGGGGGCAGAAAAGTGCTGCTGCTGCTGTTGGAGAAGAGTTCAGTTGGTTTTGTCCTCTACCTTGTACCCTGGGGCGGCTTTGTGGGAGGCTGAATGGCGCTGGCTGCTGTCTTTGCCTGCCGTGGATGTCCTGTCTTTGGCCTTGGACTTGTGACCCTGTCCCTCCTGGCTCTCCACATCTGATGTGTTACCCGAAGAACTGCCCTGTATAGGAACAAAAGAGGGAGGAGAAAGAGTGAAGAACAAGGGGTTCAACAGTTATGTACAATACTCTATTTAAGTGTAAAAATACAGTTTTAAATATTTGAACCACAAACCAAATAACTCAGTGGACTGAGTATCAGTCAATGAAGTGTCTAACATGGCAGCCAGAACAAAGCATCGCGTGACTTGGTGATGTGGGTGAAACACAGTGACGTGCGGTCAGGGGAGGCAGGTGAGGCAGAGCCTCCCCTGTCAATCGTGAAAAGAAAAAAAAGTTAACCATAAAATATAATAAATGTTAATATTTGTCGGCTGGTGTGCGTTGTAGGCCCTTTTGCCGTTCGAATCCGATGTTGAATGAATTTTTTTCAATAAAGAATAGCAGAATTTCCGTATGTCCCGTTCAAATACATGGAGGAGATGCGCGATGAGGCAGCACTTTGCTGTGCCTCTCGGTGGATCGTGTAATCCTCACAAACTGTATGCGATGCAAATAGTGTGTCGCTGTCCCTCTATATATCGCAAATAAAATGCTTTCAAACACTCTGATTATATGCTCTGCCTTGCCATAATCTGGATAATGTATAAAATGTAGTTCTGTAACGTGTTGAGGCTCGCAGATTAACCATAAAACCCAGTGAAAAAGTTACTTGGTGAGGCAAACAGTACACCTGCCTCAAAGCAGAGGGCGCTAGTGAGCCCACAGATTCTAGCGCTACCTACAATCTTCTTCGTGCTTGTTTATATTTCCTTTACAATCCGTAAAAGGGTTTGTAATACATACCAGCTGACAAATGGATTTCGTGTACAAGTAAAGGTAAGACCATAAACTTTTATTATTTCTAGTTAGAAATAAGCTCAACTGGAATAAATTTTAACCTCAAATTAAATATGGGTCACATTTGTGTGAAGAATGCTGATATGAGATATAAAACATAACGCATTGTCTGTTAACAGACAATTTAACGGTTCATTTGTATTTGTAAAGGAGCTGTCAACCTCACCGCACGTCACTGGTGAAAAACCTCTACAGTAGTGGTGCACAGCCTAATGTCTTACCGATGAGTTCTTGTTCTTCTTGTCATCTTTGCCATCCTCTGCATCATCTGAGTCAGGCTCTGAGTCCAGAGCAGGGAGCTCAGGGTCCAGGGGAGGCTCAAACAGAGCTGTATTCAGTGGCAGGTATCGCAGCTCATTGGGGGAGTACCTGATATGTAGAACACAGTGGCACATCAGGGCAAAACATTCAATAGAGCAATAGAAAAAGAGAGCCTATTCAGAAAACACACAACTTTACATTTTCACTTATGAAAAGATAATCCTAACTTTTGAGTTTTCAATACAAAAGTGGCCAATTGTAGATCAAAGTACTTGTCTAGGTGTGTAAAGTACCTTTTGTAGTAGTCTTGGAACTGTCCTGGTATAAGAGCCACAGGGTAGGGCCCCGTCCTGGTCAGCTCTGGAGCCAACACCTTGAACCTGCCCTGAGGCACCTGAATAATCTGAGAGGACACATACATCATAAGGCAACTCATAAATTCTGAATCTCTTATGTGAACAGAGACGATTCTATGTCATTGACTCTTTAATGAATCCCTACAAAACTCAGAGACCAGCTGAATTCCGGTTTGGACTCACATGTGTCTGAAGGTCAAAATAAGCTCTCCTCTCCTCCATGCGCTCCCTGTTGAAGTTACTGTTGAACTCTGCGGCTTTCTTTGCTGCCTTCTTAATGTACTCAGGAACCTTGCTGGCCTCCACCTTCTGAGGGTTCTGCTGCTGCTGCATTTGCTACAAAAGGACAACACACAGATAAGACAGTACAGTATGTATGTGGTGAATTTTCATTAAATGAATTATTGTAAAATAATATAACTGAACCTTTCACACTAATCAATGCAATTCAAAGTTCTTTACAGACGGTTGATAAGAAATAACATATATATAACAACAGGAATAATTTTGAAGTAGCGCCGCTGCAAAATGTACATAGCAGAAACACTGTGATGCCACATTAATCATCAGCCCTGCACTCCACAGGATACCTCTGTTGTTTGTGTACTTACAGAGTACTCTTTAGCTATTCTCTGTCGTTCTCTCTCCTGCAGTATGACTGAATACTCAGAGTGTTTGGTGGGGTACTCCTTAATCATCAGATCTATCACCTCATCACTCCGAAGGGCTGTCAGACCTGAAAAACACTTGCACAATCAAACACTACTCATAGAACACATCATATGAACAAGGCTGTGCATAAAACATGACTGGTTCCTACCCAAGGTGCACTGTGTCTCAGTGATTACATTTTGTTCACGCAGGTATAGCTTCTCTTTGTGGGACAAGTCTCTCCTCTCCATATCTACAGAGTGACAACAAATAAACAGCGTCAGACCAAACTTTCTTCTTCACATCAAAGCATGTGTGGAGAGAATGGTATAATTACAGCTTTATAACAGCAGATGAAACATGACTAGAGAGCCTGCCCTTTCTTCTGTACTTGTAAATAAACAAGTATTATCACTGAAATGGGTCTCTTCTGTAAATCTACACAGTATGTACAAAGAATGATTTCCATATTATTACAGCATATATCACAATGTTAAAATATAATAAAATTTAAATCAATATCATCATCGACTATAAATACACTGATAATTTGGGATCGGTAAATCAACAGAGAGGATACTGTGTTGACATCTGTCTCCCATTCTTACCAGGGTACTTCCTCTTGAAGGATGTGACTCCTAGATACTCGCTGACCTGCTCCTGGAGCATGTAATACTCTCCTGTGTCATCTGGCGGCCACTTATACTCTGTCAGGTTCTCTGCAGGGAAATATGTTGAGCTGGAAGACAAAGTGGGAGAAAAACATCCTCGTCATTTACAAAATACAAGTTTGGGTTCAAAATATTATCCATACAAGTTAAACTTATCTGCTAAAACTGTAACAAATTTCTGCTTAATATGTCTTGACATTTGTATAGGTTCATAAAATAAAATAAACCACAATCTGCCCATTCAGGGAATTTGTCAGAAGTGACACTGGGCTATATAAATAAATCTGACTTCACTAGTTGTAAAGTAAGTAACAATTATTAGGTCTTTCAGCTTTAACAAATACACCAAAAAGGTTTTTATTGTATTTGTAAATTGTATTTATGAAGGACACAGCAAAAGCATAATATGATAGTATCAAAACCTTGTGAACCCTTTGGTAATTGAGGAAAAAAGCTTAAAAATATTTTAAACATGTATACATTGTTTATGCTAAGCACCAAATCAACATACCTGAGCTCTTGGCTGGAGGTGTCACAGCTACGAGAGCTGTCCCCTGAGCCCATTCTTCGTCTTTTGGGAGGCTGGCTGCCATCGTTGGACTCTTCTTCTATTACATCCTCCTACAGAAAACATAAACATCTCGACTTATATTCCAAATAATAATATAATACGATATTAACAAACTGCACAAGGCATCCTGGCAGTACTAGTATTTCATTTGGGGATATGGGGCATGTTCATGGACTCAATTTAAATTTCCAGGATCTTGTGACTACTGAAGTCCTTCCTGATTTAGGCTGACAAACCGCACCATTTCGGTCATAAAATCTGGCTCAGCCATGCTCCTGACCTACAACCAGCAGCAGTGGATGACTGAAAGGGGGATGTGCCAGGAATTTTTTATGCACATTTTTGGACATCCTCTGATATCAATATCACTTCTCCTTCAACCAAAAATCTACAGGCCATAGAAAAAAAACAATGTCACGTCAAAAATGCTACTTATAACATTAACACCCTTCAAAGGCATCTTCCTCTGCAAATGGTTTAATTTTGTATCAATATCAAAATCTGTTACCATATGATTTGTTGACAGTTGATTCTTATTAAGCAAATAAAACCCGCGAACCTCTTCAAAAATGTTATATCAAACGAAAAGTAGATTAGTGTTTTACGTCCTGTTTTGACCTTTTTCTTTTAATAAAGTACGCAGGTCAATGGTTATAAACAGCGGGAAAATGCAAACTATCCCTAGCAAGCTACTAAATCATCCACCACACAGCTGACAACAAAGGATACACGTTAATGTGGCTAACAACTGTAGCGTTAGCTTAATTCATTGAGGGGAAATAGCAATAGCTAGCCAGTTAGCTGCTAGCTAAGCAACCATGCACCCAGAGCTGCGGGAACAGAATTTTTAGCGACTCGGGATTTAAAGGAGTAAAAATGTCACCTTTATAGATTGTGCTCCAGGGGTAGCGGGATTGCTATCACAGGGTGGTCTGACAGGAAGCACAGCAGCCATATTTCGCTTTAAAAAAAATATTCTGACGCCGGGCTAGCTTCTCACTAGCCGTTTCTTCTTTACACTACAATTTGATGGCGGATGACAAACATTTCTGCACATGACCGCCATCTTCTGGACTGGTGTGTGATACCGAAGCTCCGATGCGCAGGTTCGACAATTTCCGGTTAAGCTTCGCATCGAAGTAGAGGCTTGTATCGTTTTTTGTTTCAGAGAACCACGTCTCGATTTCGACATAAAGTTCAAAACTATTTGCTGCTTTAAAAAATAACCTTATAATTACTGTTTTCCATTTAATTTTGTCCTGATTTCTAAGTTTATTAGTTGTTGCTCACATCTGCATTCAGTAGATAAGAAATATATTCTTTAGTAATTTAAATATAAATTTGAAACTAAGCGTATCACAAACTTTCGACCAAATTGAATGATACTGGAAACAGCCTGCAGAAATGTCAACACTGAGTTGCGCCACCTTGCCTATTGTTGCGGATTTTATTTTGAAAAACACTCGATTTACGGCAAGTCAGAGGGGAAAATCAGCTGGAGTCCGCGGAAATCATTAGCCCACTGTTTTCCTTTACTTAGCTAGGCATCCATCTGTCAACTTCTTTTTCTCTCTTCCTCTCATTTGCTGCCGAAGCGCCACATTGGTGATGTCGGAGTCTTACGGTAAGGAGGCTGTTTTGATACGTGGTCATCATCTACGTTTCCAGTAGTCTCTCGGGTGGGATGAGGCAGGTGTGTCCAGAGAGCATTCTCAGCGTAAATAAATGTCCAACGGGCTAACCGAGCTGCTGGTGAGGGCTGCTAGCCTTAAAATGCCCTGTCAGTCTACAATAGGGTTTATTGTGGCCTTGCAGACAAAATGTATCTACCTAATAAGATTACAAATCAACACAGAGGTTAACTGAACAGGAAACTGACACCTGCAGATGATGGAACTGGCACGAATATATCACTGGTTTCCTCTCAGCTTGACCCCATACAAGAAATGTGGTGTCCACCTATTAAGGTGTATGTACAGTGTATACCATTAAAACTACGATAAGATAATGTTGTCCAGCTCATGTATTGTGCTGGCTGTCCTTATTACAATTATGACTGCTATAATAATATAACTGTAGTATTATTGTGTTGTGTTTTGTTCTCTTCTCAGATTTCCTTTTTAAATTCCTCGTGATTGGCAATGCTGGAACAGGCAAATCCTGTCTGCTGCACCAGTTCATAGAGAAGAGATGTAAGTGAGAAACATGCAACACATCGTTCATTATTTACTGTTAAAAGACACTTGCGCTGATGTCTAATGTATGTGTGTAATGTTGTCTAAGTATAACTCTGCTTTCTATTAGTGTAGCTCTCCAGACATATGCTCACAGCCTAATTAGGTAGTAATTCACTCTGTACTGTAGGCTATATTATGGTAAAAATAATTTTATATGTGTTACAATCAATGCACATATTAACTTGTGAAAATTGAGCTGGCTTTTCTAGAGATGGGTTAAGTTCAGATAATAATATTTGGTGTCTTGTACATTTTTACTAAAATGATGTACTAAAGGTCTTCACTATGTCCTGCAGTTATTTAACAATGATGCAACTTTCCATGTTTTTCAATTGTTTTCCAGTTAAGGATGAATCCAACCACACAATTGGGGTGGAGTTTGGCTCTAAGATCATCAGTGTGGTCAACAAAATGGTCAAACTGCAGATTTGGGACACTGCAGGCCAAGAAAGGTTCAGGTATGGAAAATCCCAACATAAACATATGGGTTCAATTTCCAGGAGTCAGATTTAGGCCTTAACCCTCATCTTTAGCGTGGAATGGAAGCTAAACAAATGCCTTTAACAACAGGTAGTGGTGGTTTTTAAAGTTGTTTGCCATATTTTGTGGTTTCCTTCAGCTAAATGTTTATATTCCACTGGCACACCAGGTTTGAATACATATTGATATGATGTTTATTCCAGTGTTTCCCAAACTTTGGAGCAGATATCCCTCCGGGGGATGCTAAACCATTGCTGGTTGAGGGGGCAAAATGCCTGCTTAGAAAAATTGGCTGACAAAGGAGGCAATGATACAGTTTGGATTACCACTGGTTTAATCCAAATCTAAGGCCTTTAGTTGAAAGTAAGGTGTCACATAATTATTTATTTTGGCTGTTTATCTGTGTGGCAGGTCTGTGACCAGAAGTTACTACAGAGGAGCAGCAGGAGCCCTGCTGGTCTATGATATCACCAGGTGAAAGAGCTGGTCACAGAACATGCATCAGTTCCCTTCTGTTTTGTAGCCAGTGCACATTAAATTCCCCTTACATTTCACAATTTTCTCAAGTTTAATTTTTTCTTCCTTTCTTTCTCTGTCTCTGTACACTGAAGTCGAGAGACATACAATGCTCTGACCACATGGCTGAGCGATGCCAGGATGCTGGCCAGCCAGAATATTGTCATCATCCTGTGTGGAAACAAGAAGGACCTGGATGCTGACAGAGAGGTCACATTCCTGGAGGCTTCACGCTTCGCTCAGGAGAACGGTAAGATCAACAGATTGGGAGTGTTTGATAGGTTTTCTCTTATCTCCTCAGACAACTCTTTTCAATTCTTTCACTTGTCCATATTCAGTGAAATTCACACAATGATACCACACACAACAATGAGAATTTTTCTCTGTATAAAAAGGCTGCAGGTATGCATGACAAAGGAACTTTTAATTTTAACACCTTTCAGTAAGAACAGAGCATTGTTTCAATGAGGTCTAAGAGTATCAACACTTTCAGCCGTGTCTGTGTGTGTGTGTGTTATGAAGTCTTATGTGATGAGATGAAACCACTGTGTGTTTCAGAGCTGATGTTCCTGGAGACCAGCGCTCTAACAGGGGAAAACGTTGAGGAGGCTTTTGTACAATGTGCTCGGAAGATCCTCAACAAGATAGAGTCAGGTAGGATGACCCTTGCCCATCCAGCAACTGTAAGCCCTGACTCTAAATCCCTCCTGGTCCTAACAGGATCAACCTAACAGGATCAACCAGGCAGGCTTAGTCATATCTCCAGACCCCACACTGTAGCAGTTCAAGTCCAAAAGAGAGCATATCTCTCATTTACAACCCCCCAGTCCCTCAACCTTCATGAAGCTGTTCTAGTAGAGCCTTGACAAGATGAACAGAAACCACCTGTGGACAGAAGAAACAGGTGGCAGATAAGTTCACAAAGGGACATGGCAAAGAAAATATCTACATTTTTACTATTCTTTTTGTTCAGTTACTTATTTTTGTGCCATGACATCATTGAGTATTGTTTCATAAAGCTGCATTTACCTGTATTATAACAACTGATATTTACAGAATACACAGTCTTTTCGTTCTTCACTGATCTTGTCTGTCTTTTTTCAGGGGAGCTGGATCCAGAGAGGATGGGATCAGGTATCCAGTATGGTGATGCTGCATTACGACAGCTCCGTTCTCCTCGTCGCGCTCAGCCACAGGGCACCCAGGAGTGTGGCTGTTAGTGGACACGCCCTGTAACATGCACAGAAAGGTGAACAAAGAACTAGTGTGCTTATATTGTGGGTATGATAAGATAATGATATTTTAATGTTTTTGCTCACAGTCCTTGTCTTCTACACTCATCACTCACCTTGTGATTTACAAACTGAAGTCTGAATTCAGATGTAGGCTTTTGCACATGCCACAATTACTGTTTAAAGTATTATTTATTGTTTATGTTTGTGAAATTAAAAGCAACAGCGCATTGCAATTTTTACTAAGATTTAGTTCAAATGTGTTTGATGTATGGGCTGTTTTATAGTCAATTTGTCTTTCAACCCCAGGCTTCACTACAGTAGCAAGGTGTACCTAATAAACTGGCATCTGAGTGTAAGGTTTATTTACTTCTTTGTGTGTCTGTGTTTAGTGTGTTCCAGACAGGTTTGTGAAGATCAGAAGAAGAACAGCCACAGGGGGCCCAGACAGTGTTAGGGTCAGGTTCTGGTAACGCCATCCTGACCATTGATCTTTGACTTTCACTCAAAACCTTCAGAACCTTAGATCCTTTGGAACATTTGGAACCTTCAAAAGATTCAGATCCCTTGGGACCTTCAGATCCATTGGAACCTTTAGATCCTCTGAAACATATGGAACCTTCAAAACCTTCAGACCCAATGAAACATCTGTAACCTTCAAAACCTTCAGACCCAATGAAACATCTGTAACCTTCAGAACTTTCAAAAGCATTAGACCCTTTGGAGCCTTCAGAATCTTTCGAACCTTCCGAATCTTCAGAACCTTTAGAATCTCTGGAACCGTCAAACCACTTGCAATATTACAACGAAAATCACTTGCATGTGCAACAGGTCACACAATGTGGAAGCAAATTGGAAACCTCGAAAACATTTGGCTCATGAAACAGGTGAGCAGTTTTCACCATTTTTGAGTCTAGGAACCAGCTCCTATAATACATCCATGGCAGAGACCTGAAAAGACCTCCCAGCCACACCCCCTCTAAGAATGCTGAGTATCTCCAAGGTAACCAGAGACTGCTCACCTCCAGCAACCTGCTCCACTATTGGACCAGAAGCTCCCCTGCCTTTTAAAGAGGATGTGAATTTTGGGCATGAAACCTCTCTATCTCGTCTGTCTTTCTACTTGGCTTGAAAATCACCTATCACTATTCCTACACTATATAGTGTCCAAATGCTGTGTGTTAATCTATCCACTATATAGTGCACGCTGTTTTATGCGAACAAGTGAACAATGCAATGATCCACATTTTACAGATTAGAAAATAACCACTGAGTGACTCTCCATCTGTAACTAATGACGCAAAATGATGATTAGTGAGTGTCCAAAATCTGCATTTTCTGCTCAACATAGAGTGAAGTGTTGAATGTACATATCTAGTAGTTGTGAATCAGAGAATGGGGGAGTGATAAAGAGACACAGGCCCAGTCTGCCCTCACACCTGCTTGCCTTCCATCTTAGTTCATTTTTGTCTTCCCTCTCATCACTACCTACGGACCATCAACACTACTTAGAGGAATAGTCTCGGTTTTGTGAAAGTTGCTTTCTTGCCTTTTGTGTCCAAATTATACCAATGAGATTTAATCTGTTAATTGGTTAGCTTTGGTTCTGGCAGGTAAATTTTGGTGTGAACTAGGCTAGTCTTTTTGCTCTACTTCCAGTCTGTATGCCAAGTTAAGCCAGCGGCCATCTGGTTTCAGCTTGATAAAGGCATGAGGTATTGATTTTTGGTGGCTCGGGCATCTCTTTCGGATGCCTCCTGGGCGCCTTCCTAGGAAGGCATGTCCCACCGGGAGGCGGCCCCGGGGAAGACCCAGGACACGCTGGAGGGACTATGTCTCTCAGCTAGCCTGGGAACGCCTCGGCATCCCCCCGGAGGAACTGGAGGAAGTGTCTGGAGAGAGGGAAGTCTGGGCATCTTTGCTTAGACTGCTGCCCCCGCGACCTGGCCCCGGATAAGCGGAAGAAAATGGATGGATGGATGGATGGATGGGTATTGATTTTTGTCTTGGAATGAAAACACAATTCCCAAATTGTTGACCTGTTCCTTTAACCACATACCTATTGAACCAGTACTACTACTAACCTTTCTCCAACCGCTGACAAGATGGTGCACTACTGCTCTTGGCAGGAGGTTGGCTATATTAGGTGTAAGTCATTCACATCGGCAGGTTTAAGGTTTGGGTGAGGGTTAGGATTAACCCCAACTGTAACCAAACTTCTGGAAAATGTTGACAACTTCCATTCGAGGTTGACAGTATGACAATCTTGGTTGCAATCTACCATCGTGTCTGGAGCCAGGTCCCTTTCCCTGACAGTGGAACTACCAAATTATACATGATCACTTCACCTAACCTCATGCCCTAGATCCCTCTGTTTCTTGCATTGATTGCATCCTATCATTCTTTCCATTACCTTCTTATACACCTGTTGCTCTCTCTCTTTACATCACTCTCTATCTTTTTCTTCTCCTGTCCTCCTAGAGCATCTTACACATTGTACAGTGTTCCTGTATATAGAGACTGAAGCATGTTTTCACAAACAGGATATCAGAGTATTTCATTATGAAGAGATATTATATGTATATTAAAGTAGATATCATATCCAGTTTCTGTTTCATAATCCACTGTATTATTATCACGCTAAGCTACACTACACTGGCAACTTTAAGCAGTACACACAGGCAGTACTGTTTGCAGTGATTTATTTGTAAATGAGACAAGTTGATATGGATAACATTATGGACTAACATTTATGTGGAAATATGCCGTTTTATCATTGCTCAAGCTAATATTGTGGGAAAAAAAAGACAGATAAAAACACGTTACAGTCCATTTAAAGAATATGGAGTGTGAAAGTCACATGTCATTGTTTAATTCACGGTGCCACTTTGAACATTCACTGTTAAGTGACAGTGTCACATGACTACTGACTGCTGTGTTTCACTTTTACAGTTTTGCATGGACACCTGAGTGATGGCTGCCAGCCGTGGGGTAATACTAACTAAATGCATTTCAAATTTTAGCAATGCTAGGAAATGCTTTTTTCCCCATCTCCACAGATAATTTTGCTCCCATTTTAAACTTTTAAACAATTCAGCCACATAAAGTTCTCAACTAAATCACATGCACTTGGGATTTTTTAAATACTTTCACTTAGAGGTGTGTGTTGCATAGGCATTTTCCACTGTTCAGAATCAACAAAAGGTCTTCACACTCTAAGCTAAAAATAAAACATATATTTTGAGGCATCTTTCAGAGTGTGAAGGCCTTTTGTTGATTTTGTGTGATGAACCTTTGCTGAGCACACTTGACTCCTACCTTGAGTGCAGTCTCTTTTGAATAATAGTTGGTTTTCTAGCATTACAACATATAAAGTAATGGTTTTAATTACTTTATGTTTTTTCCCCTTGAAATTTAAGCATTAAATGTTTAAATTAAGCAAACTTCAAACTGTACAAATATGTGTGCAAATATGAAGAGAAACTGTTTCATCTGATGGTTTTGGCTGCTCCGCATCAGGTTGTTGTCTTGTGTTTGTCAAGTTCTATGTTCTTATTTATGTACATCTGTTTTTCTCATCATAACAAATACCATGGATTTCTAATTTATTGTGTATGATAAAAGCATATGTTTTTAAAATAAAAATTACTATAAATCTAGCATTGTCTGAAAGGTGGATTTTTTTTCTTGCCACCTTCACTGAGGTGATTAGCACAGTTCATCTCTATGTACAAAGCATTACTGTGCTAACATGGCAAAGTCAGTATTTATTGAAACCTTTTCACCACATTAACCATTTTTCTTCTAAATCATTTTAATTATGAACATAGTGTGTTTATTTTAAACAG